CGTCGGATTGCCCCGGGGGATTATCGCGGGGCCCCCTTCACCGCGTCGGAAGAGTGAATTACGAGCGACCGACGTCGACGCTATAAGTCCGGGCTAATTTGTTTATTAATAATTCACGGCGTACCGATCGCTCTGGGGGTTCGTGATATATATCCACTCGCACTCTAGCACTCTTCTCTTTGGCATATTTTCGGGATGGGCTCTCGCCCCCCCCCCCCCCCCCCCCCCCCCCCCCAAATCCACCCGTCCATCCCCCACTCCACTATCCATCTATCCATCCATCCGTCCCTGCCGTCTCTATCTATCAGTGTAAAAAACGCAAGAGGCAGAAAGAGTCCATTCATCGTTCTGTCGGATGCGCCAGTACAAGCGCGTATTCACCGCCTAATAATAGAAGGTCGTGGATCCTCGCTCTCTCTCTCTCTCTCTCTCTCTCTCTCTCTCTCTCTCCCTCACGTTCGTTTTCGTACATGTATTATAAAGGCGCGAGAATATAGCCTCCGAAAAACATTGCCGCACCCTTTTTACATCCTTATACGAATGAGCGAAACAGGAAGAGAATGAGATGGCTCGATCTCTTTCTCCGGCTCGTCCACGCACCGGACACAAATTATGTATGCCGGTTGCATATAGACGTACGCAGAATGTAGTAGAAGACAGACAGGTCGGTACTGATGGTTGAGGCATTGCAGCGCGACGGGTCTGAAATTTATAGCTTGTTTATTGAATGAAATGATGTTGGATGCGAGGTTGGGGTGTCACGTTTTAAAGGATAAGGCATTGCCTCCTTCCTCCAGTGTACGTAGAAGCAAAATTTAATATTTTATAATGGGTCGTTTTCCTTTGTTATTCAAATAAAGCATAAAATTGAGTATGGATAAAAGCGTATGCTGGCCACAAGGAAACGAAGAACCAATTTATTTACAAACATTAATGTTAGATTGCTCGAGTTGCACGCGCTCGCACGACAATGTTTTTAATTCGAGGAGTCGGCGTCGTACGATTCACAAATTCTAAGAATCGAGCGTAACGGAATTCTTGTTGGTAAAATGTTAAATTATTAAGCCAAGTGCTTTTATATTCGCCAATTGCCAAATCCCCGACCGCTCGCACTCCGGATCACCGGCTCACCGGCTCACCCGGCTCACCCAGCTTCAATTTATGGACGTCGCTCGGTAAAATTGAAACTCGCGCAGCGGGCCCTCCTCCTCGGTATTATACAACTAAGCTTAAAATGCCATTGGGATATCGCGCGAATAACCGAGGAACAACAAGACAAGACGCGTGCAATTTATGGTAGCGCGACACTACTCGTACGCTAATAACGAATAACCAATTAGGCTAATAATTATGGCTAATATTATTATTACCAATGAGACGGAAGGCAGACGATATCGTAGAAGGAGGCGATTCCTTTAGACGATAATAGTTCTCGTTCGCAATCGGTCGCAAAATACAAAGAGCGCCCCTCCCCCATTCCACGGCGTCGTGGGAGCGCGTAGGCGAGCAAATCGCGCGCAAGAAATGAGAGAGAGAGAGAGAGAGAGAGAGAGAGTGTGAGTGAGTGTGTGGGTCGCCGTCGGCAAATAGGAAAATCGAGAAGCGCGACACGGGCCAAAGCCAAAAGCCACGAATATAGAGATTCGGGACACGCTGACGCCTCTCCTTCTTTGGGGGGAAAGAGAGCAACAACCCCGTGACGTATTTAAGGGAAGATGGCATCGTTTTCGAGGGAGCCGAAGGCGGCGAGTTCGCAGGGGCCAAGTCGCGTATTGTTTCCCGCGTCCCTTTGTTGCAACATCGCCGGCCCTACGAATTTCCAACATATTGCGCACATATTGTCCAATGGATGATCCGCGTCGAGCGTCAATGCCTACGTTTTCCAAGACGTTTTGTGATAAAGGAAATTTGTGTTTAACGTAACAAGGAATTGGCTTTTTCACGCTCGTGTTCAATGGCACGCGTTCGAAATTTTACGCCAGCTCTACTCTACTGGCACTTTTGCTTTTGAACAAATAACAACGATATGCAGCCATTTTTTTCAAAATTTTTGTTTTTTTGTTTTTTTTTTTTTGTTTTCTCTTTTTGTTATGGATAATCACGGTTTATGAAACGCGGATCGCGTCACGTTTCTAAAAAATACTTGACGAGTATGTCTTTGGCAAGTCGTTAATAGCCAAAGTCGCGCGTTACAGATTATTGTTACGCTATCGTATAAAAAGTAACGCTAATGAATGCGTTTGAACAAAAAATTTTCTCCAACCATCCACGTATATCGTAAATGTACATTACGTTTTATGAGAAAAAGTAACCGCGAATGTTTCATCTACTTTTAGTATTTTTATTCAATGGGGAGAATAACGGCAGCAAAGAAAAAAGAAAAGAAATTTATAAGATTAACACACCGGACTTTTAATAATGCAGCGAAAGTATATAAACTTTGTTACGAGCAAACTTTAGTGCTCTCAACATCGAAATATGCATTTGAAGTTATTATTTCGTAAGGCAAAGAATGTTACTCTCTCTCTCTCTCTCTCTCTCTCTCGTTAGCTTAATTTCTAATTCAACCATTGTATTTAATGAGATTTCTAGAAATTAAAAAGAAAAGGACCGATGCGATTCTACAAACACTTGTGCGTCAATATGTATTTAAAATGTTCTAAAATATTTAAAAACTAGTATTCTGAAATCATTATTTTACGCGCGCGCAGCAGAGTAGCCACAGGCAGACAGACCGACACACACACACACACGCCCGCGCGCGCGCGCGCGTATATAATTAAAAATAATAAAAATTAGCGTGTATTTGATCTTGTCGTACGAATAATTTCGTATAAAATTCATTTTATCTGTGAAATTTTTAATGCCTGGTCGCAGTGTCCACTAAATTGCCCGTCCACAAAATAAAAATCAGCAAAATTTTTGTACTCAAAATATATTACAATAAAGTGCTGATTGTTTGCATGTTAAAAACAAAGTTACCAATTTGAAGAGAAAAACAATGTCTGAGGCAATGATGATAATACAATCATCTCGGTTTACCGAATGCGCGTGTAAAAACAAAAAAAAAAAAAAAAAAAAAAAAAAAAAAAAAAAGAAGGAAAAAAATTTGGACAGCACCAGCTCCGTAAATTCCGAGATTTCTTTCTTGCATTAAAGACAAAATATGCCAGAAGGCGATAAACAATGGAACTCGTGACTTTTAAGGGTGATGATCGAATTTTTTCATTGACCTTCCAATGTACGGAGCCGCTCGTTTTTATTATTTATACTTGATAAGCTCTAGCTAGGGCGTCCAATATTATTATGCCTTCCTCAGTTTCAAAATAGTCGCTTTGAGGCGCCTGTCGCTGTCTCGAAGCAATTCTGGACTCATTAAACTCCTTCTACCAACGCCTTCTTGTTAAAGCAACTGACGTGCTAGTTGTCTCTCCCAGCAGTTACACTAATGTTTTCGCGACGTTTCCAATTTCGCCTAGCGCAACGTTCTCTCTCTCTCTCTCTCTCTCTCTCTCTCTCTCTCTCTCTCTACGTAAAATACTATTTGGAACTTCCATTGAGTATGCCTGAATTATGTATCGACATCTTTTTTTCTTTCTTTTTTTTTCTTTTACCGTCTCATTCGCGCGAGAATTTGATTCAGCGTGACAAACAAGATCCAGCGCTCATTATTCACTTGTGTAAGAAATTGAGCTTTTTGCAGCGCTGGATCGTCCAAATATTGTATCTTATCCCGATTGGGAAAACGTGCCTACCGACAGGACGGATGTAAGTGATAAATTCAACGCGATACAAACATTTATTATGTACGAGCTTTCCTTGATACGCCAAAGTCAGTATTACTTTTTAAAATGTAAGTTGAAAGGGCGATTCTTATGTAACAGTTTGAAAGTTGGTCTCGGCATGTGGTGAATTTCTTGTGTGACGAAAGACGTTCGATATCGAATTTTAATTTTTCGTTTCGACAAATTTTGCAAGATATTTGCAACTTGGCAGAGAAACTTGATTATACACGATACCAAAGATCATCTCACGCGCACGTACGCACGCACCTACGCACGCACGCGTATATATATATATATATATGCAACACCTTCCCCGCATCCTCACACATGCGCATAATAAATACAGATTTATGATTCCTGTTATTTATTTATTTATTTATAGAATAATAATGAAAGTCGTAAAATGAAAAAAATATTCTTTTGCGAAAAATAGAATTGGCCTTCTCTTGATAATTTCACTGATCCACGACATATGTGTGAATTCGTTAAATATTAATCCGCAGTTGGTCAGTATTTCATCTTTTGGAGGGAAATTTTTTTTTCCATTTTTACTCCAATCTCTATCCCACGTTATGTATCCCTTTGTTTTTTTGTTCCTTCATTTGTTCAAGCATTTTTTTTTCTTAGAAAAAAATTCATAAAAAAACTCGAGTTGGTTGTCCCGCCGTATTGTAAATAATGAAAGTACCGCTTTCCGAAAATTTTCCTCCTCCCCGGCCCCTCACCGTCGCTGAGGAAGTACAAGCAACCGTCCAACGACTATTTTGATTCTTACAAGTTTTACCTGCCCATAAATCCCTCCTAGTCGTCACAATGCGACAATTTAGAGCATCGCGTTGACCGAGGAAACTTTTAAATATCTGCTCTTAGCTATTGTACGAAATCTTTCGAAACAGCCCTACTGGCATAATTTTCATTTGCGAATACAATAAACAATGATGAGGTGGAAAGTGTTTGAGCCGTGTAAAGCATAAATGACATATTATAGGCGATGATTTTAGATAAAAACTATCATCGTTCATGACAATTGACATTAAAATTGCCAGTTACTGTTAACGCGCAATAGCGTCTTTGGTTTTGCTTCAGCCATTAGCAATGGCTAATTCAATTATTTTACAGGACAAAAGCCTTTCGTCAGTTTTCACTGTCAAGGTACACATTTTCTATAACCAACTTTATCAAGTACCGCCGCTTACTAAATTAATAATGGAAGAACTTGTTGATCAAATGAAAATTACGTAAAAATGTCAACCATCGCAGCTCGCGTCCTTAACCTAAAAGGAATTCCTTCTCAAATGCCAACTACATTTGTATAAGCATTTTCTTATTCGCATAAATACTATAGATTATAAAATATTTGAATATCATTCGCATTATTTTACATGTTCATAATCTCCTTTAATCGTCCGTCGTTATCAATACATTTGAATAAAAATTACCGGAATTCCTCGGACGTAATTTCATTCGTAGGACTTTGGAATTCCGCGGTATAAACATTACTTTCGGTATAATTGCCCACGTCGCGTGGCCATTAAATTTCTTGTTTTGTATTTGTTGCAAGGGATTTTGCTGGAATCGATGATTATGAAGAGCTCGAATATAAATTGTATCATATTTTACATGCAAAATACGTAAGCACTAGTTTCCTTTACAACGTGCATGCGACTACGCGTCCCCACACCAATATGCAATACAGGATGCGTGAGTGTAGGTGTGAGATAAGTACTCGGCAGACTGCTATCGACGTCGATCTTAAAGCTGATAAATGTCGAGCTGTTGTGCAACGGCGTCTCAGCAATCGTCGAATCATCGTATTTTGAATGTTGCGCAAAAATAAGCTGTGGACAAGGTGTCGGGTGCGAAGATCGGTGGCAGGAAGGAGGCAAGAGGAATTAGACTCGGTACGAGGGCCCTTCTCCTTAAAAAGAGCGAGCGTCAGACGAGACGAAGAGGGCTTCGGAGGATGAGATGAGGCTTGGGCTTATCGCGAAGATCGGCCGCGACGTCATGAAGCCGTCAGGGCCCCGGAGATAGAGATAGAGATAGAGATAGATAGATAGATAGATAGATAGATAGATAGATAGATAGATGGATGGATGGATAGGTAGAGAGAGAGAGAGAGAGAGAGAGAGAGAGAGACTGAGTGAGAGTGACTAAGATAGAGAGAGAGAGAGAGAGTGAGTGAGAATGACTGAGATAGAGAGTGAGAGGGGCATCACAAAAAGTCAGGGCTCAGTCGGGTCTCCCTAGGATTGGATTTTCGGCGTGGATTGGGCGGGGGGATGATGGTCGTCTCAGCAGCATCGCGATCGGCGCGCACATAAGCTGCGAA